CTGTGCGCCCGCGGTGCCCGCCCGCATCCCCACGCTGGCCAGCCTGAGTCGCGGCCGTCCCTCGCCGCTCGTGCGCTTCCAGCTGCCCAACGTGCTGTTCGCTTACGCGCACGCGCTCGCACTCTACCACGGCGGCGACGACGACGCGCTGCTCCCCGACTTCTGCACCACGCTGCTGGGCGTTTCTGGAGCCCTGGGCGCCCAGCAAGTCTTCGCCTCTGCCGAGGAAGCCCTGCAGGCCGCCGCGCACGTGCTGGAGGCGGGCGAGCACCCGCCGGGGCCCCTGGGCACCCGGGGTGCCATGCGCGAGGCCGCCCGCATCCTGCTGGGCCAGGGCCCGGAACACCAGAAGAACTTCACGCTGGCAGCACTGGGACACCTGGCGCAGACCCTGGGCCGCGCACGGAAACAGGCCGCGAGCCCGGAGGAGCGAGACCGCCTCTACCGGGCCCGGAAGAAGTGCCAGTTCCTGATGGCTTGGACCAACGAAAATGAGGCCGCCCTCACCCCCCTGGCCCTCGCCTGCGCGGGGGCCCACCGAGCCCAGGCTGCGGCAGCCGAGGAGGTGGCAGCCCTCACGGGGGAGCTGGAGCGCCTCTGGGGAGGCCCTGTGCCACCAGCGCCGAGGACTCTCATTGAGGAGCTCCCAGGCTGAGCCGGCCCTGGTCACGAATAAAACGGACTGGTGGCCTCTGTTGGTCTTGCCCGTCTGAGTGTCAGCTGTTGTGTCCCCGCCGACGCTGCCCTGCCCTGGGGCCCACCTCCCAGCTTCTCCCTAGTCAGGGCTGGCCCAGCCCGTTTTTAGTCACTGGGGCCCCAGGAAGGGGAAGAAGCCACACTGGGTGTTCCAGAGGTTTATCCAAGGAGGGTGGGCAACCCCTGCACCCACTTTGAGCACTGGCTTCATTTTTCTCCTGGCTCCAACCCTCCAAGGCAGTTGGTTCCTGCCCGCTGGGGCATAGGGCAGGGCAGGTGCCCGCGAGTCCCAGGTGGGGCCAGCTCCCGGTGCCAGCAGGTGGGCAGCGTGTGCCCCGCTGCTGCTTCAGTAGACGTAGGGCACGATCCGGTAAGGCACCCGCCGGCAGTACTCTCGCCAGGCCAGGCCGTACTTGTGCAGGCACTGCCGCTCGTCCCTGGCCTCCCGGTGCACCAGCAGTGCGGTGAAGTAGAGGAGGTAGAAGTAGGGCAGCAGGTGGGACGTGCCTGTGGGGAGGTGACGGCCAGGGTCTGCAGCGGGGTCTGGCAGTGCTGGGTGGGCGCTAGGGTCCCCGGTGCGGAGCCCTCAGCTCCCTGACGGATCCCTCCCCGTGCACACCCCTGTCCTCCGCCCGCAGAGTGGATGTCCTCTGCCCCCACCCCGCTGTCACTCACCACAGGGTAAGGACCAGGCCAGAGCCATGATGAGGTCTCCAAGGTAGTTGGGGTGGCGCACCATACCCCACCACCCTGACACCAGCAGCCGCCGCCCCGTGGCTGTCGGGATGGTGTCAAGGTCTGCAGAAACACACAGTGGGGTGGGGGCCCCGGGACGCACGGCTGCCCCTCCCTCCCACTCATGCACCCTAGAAGCGGGGCTCACCAGCCACTCTGGGGTCAGCGGGATTCTTTCGGAAGGTGTTTTTCTGGGAATTGGCTCCACGGAAGATGTAGTAACCAAGAGCTGGGGAGAAGCATGAGCAGGCGGTGAGACTCGAGGCTCAGCCTCCTGCCGGACCGGACCCCTCCACCCTCAATCCAGAAAGCGCCTGGAGAAAAGCCCGCCCAGCCCCAGCTTTCAAGTGCCCAAGGCTAGCTGCGCGTAGAGGGCGTGGCTTAGGAGAGGGGGAGGGCGCGTAAGGCCCCTCTGAGACTGACCATTGATGAGGCAGATGACCAAAGCCATTGGCAAGTCCAGGGGCTGTGGGTGGTACAGCAAGAACTGGGCCTGCAAGCTATAAGTGAAGGGGACCCAGGCTAGGTCCCCAAAGGCCAGCATGAAGCCAAACCCGTCGTGGGTGATGTCCATGGTGGTGAGGACGCACTCCTGTCAGGACAGAGGCCGGGCCCACTGGCTTAGTCCCTGCCAGGTCCTCAGACACCCTTCCTGCCCCCCTGCCCAGGCCAGCCTCACCTCATGCCAGAGGGCATCACCCACGTAGAGTAGCTGGAAGCCGTTGACCAGCCACATTGCCAGTGAGGGGCTGCCCCGAAGCTCTGCTTCCTGCATCAGCAAGGCCAGGTTGATGAGGACCTGGGGGGATGGCGTGGAGGGAAACTGCGGTCTGTCCCCAGCCGATCAGCACCCTGGTGGCAGCACTGGTGGGGCAGTGACCAGCCTCTGCCCTCGCATCTCAGTGCTTCATCACTAACTCCAGCCCCCGTTTGGGGGGCTCAGGTACTGCATTAGTCCTCCTTTGGAGGTGCTCCCAGCCTGCTGGCTCACTGCCATTTAGGGGAGCAGCATGGGGGTAAGTGGAGGCGGCAGGCTTACGAGTTAGAACACACCTGGTTTTGGAATTTCAGCTTCGCTCTCTGGACAAGTGACAGACCCCCCCCGCTATGTGGAAAATGGACACCAGTGGGGGTCCCCGCGGAGCATCTGGTACGCGGCAAGTGCTCAGTGAGGCTGACGGGGGGGGGGCGGGGAAGGCCGGCCTTGTCGCGCACCCCAGCTCTCACGTCCCCAGCTCAGGGCCCTCGCCGCAGTCACCTCTCCTTCACACTAGTGTCAGAGGCACACTTCATTCCAAACACACGGTGACATAATGCAGTGCCTGAGCCCCCCAAATGGGCTGGAGTTCGTGATGAAGGCCTGAGGCGCGAGAGCACAGACTGGAGGCTAGGGTCCAGCTCAGAGGAAGGGCCAGTCTTTGGGTCAGGTGGCTTGCAGGGTGACGTGATGCACCTTGCCCAACGAGCCCTCGGGAAACCCTGTCCGTGGGCCAGCACCAAAAACACAGTTGGAGAGTTGTCAAGGCCAAGAGTGACAGATGGGCTGCTAACCCCCGTGGCCAAGCGTGGGCTCTGGCTCTTGCGACTGACTGGCCAGCAGCACGGATGGCCCGCTGCTCTCCCTGAAATAGACGTTGCACTTGACAGCATCATTTAAAACGGCACCTGCTCGCACCCACCCCGCCCCGCCTTTCTCCACAGCGCTTAGCTATAGAGATTTGACTTAGCTTTTGTCTGTCCTTCTAGGGTATAGGTTCCCTGATGACAGAGATTTTTTTTTTTCTTTCTTCTAACTCTGCTTTCCTCTCCCAGTACTTAGGAGCACAGCAGCCTCAACAAATATTTGTGGGTTGTAAGAATGATTCAGGATTCCCATGCACACGATTTTGTCCCTGCCCTGCCCAGCACTGCCACCCATCTTGCCCTCGGCCACGCCCAGCATACCCAGCCGATGAGGCCAGGACGCAGCTCGCAGAAATATTTGAAGTCAAAGGAACCGATGCGCGGGTTGAGCTCCCGTCCCAGGAAGAAGTCATAAATGGGATTTCCTGGAGAATAATGGAGGGTGAAGTTGCAGCTAGAGCTTCATCTGCTTCCACCCACACCCTCCTACTGGGCCCCCCTCACCTGAGTTCCCCCCCGGAGCCAGGGCCGAGGCAGGGGCTACCAGAGCCTTCAGATAGAGAAGGAGGCTGAAGAGGAACGTGCCCAGGGTGGCTGCGAAAGCCAAAGGCAGGAGCATTTCTGGGAGAGCAGCAAGGGGCAGCCCGGCTGACACCCCAAGACCCACCAGCAGCGCAGTCAGCACCAGCGCCTGGAAGCCTGCACAGGAACGCACACAATGAGTCCGGGGCCACCAGCCCCCAGCGGGAACGGACACATGCACACGCGCACCCAAGCTCTGAGGCATCCCTCGGCTTTCATCCCTGCTCTGCTGCCTAGAGTGGCAGCAGGTGGAGGAGGTAGGGGTGGGGGGACACGGGGTGTGGAAGGCGACATTGAGCTCCCCTCATGTCTGTCCAGGGCGGAAAGGAGGCACTAAGGGCGCTAATCTCGGTGGCCCCCTGGAGCTCCACCCCCACGCGCTCAACTCCAGCTCCACGGTTCCCCGGACACCATTAATGGGGTAGCGCAGGTGACTCTTGTCCTTCAGTTCCAGCCCCTCAGCCACCTGCGGGCACAAAGGGGCTCAGGTCAGGGTTGAGGGAGCCTTGGTACTTTACCGAGCTTCCTGCCGGCCACCCGCCTCCGCGCCTTACGCCAGCGAGCGCAGCCCACACCTTGCGCGCGGGCAGCAGGTAGAGCGCAGCCTGCAGGCCGAGCCAGGTGAGCCAGAGCAGCTGCACCCGCGGGCTCCACAGCGTCTCCGGCCCCGGCAGGTAGGCGGGTGGGCCCAGGAGGCGCGCCGGGCCCGAGCGGGCCGCCAGGAGCAGGTGGAACATGGTGGCAGGCAGCAGCAGCATCAGCGCCGCGGCGCCTGCGGAAGGGAGGCGATGGCGTCCGGCGTCTGCCCACCGACTCTCCCCAGCTCCGACCGGCCACAGGTGCCGTCATCTCCAGGGACCCTCAGCATCCCGTCACCTCCCAGATCCCGTTTTCAGCCCTCTGCCCGGACTCCCTGGTCCCCGCCCCAGGCCCTTCTCCTGAAGCCCCTGCTCCTCCCAGTGTACTCCACAACCCCCAGCTCTGCAGACCAAGGAGCTGGTCCTTTCTCAGCTCCCCTCCAGCCCCAGGTCCCTGATACCCCTCAAAGCCTTCCGTCCCCAGACCAAGCCTCATCCCCACTCCAATTCACCCCGCCAGTCCTCCCTCGCTGCGCCCCTGGCCTCAGGTCACCCCTCTTCTGCCCCATTACCCAGGGGTCCCCCGAATTCCAGCGGGGCTCGAGGGCCCTGAGGAGGGGCCATGGTCTCTGCTCCGCCGGGGAGAGGGGCCCACAATAGCAGTCAAGACATGGCCCGCCCCATCCCCCAGGAGATGAGCTCGGCGTCTCCAAGGATGCGGCCCCCGGAGCTTGCACCTGTCTCGGGACTGCGCTCGGGCCGCGGCCTCGGTCTTCTAGAGGTCCTTAGAGGCCCGCCCCCGGCCCATCCTGGCCCCAGCAGACCAGCCAATCAGCTCCGGGGGCGGACCCGAAGCGAGGCCTCTGAGGCCCGGGCCCCTAAGCCCCACCCCCGGAAAGCCACGCCCCGCAGGCTGGGCGGCGGAGGCAACATCTTTATTGGGCTGAGAAAGGGCCGGGCGCCGCGGAGCAGGGGCTGGGAGGGTGAGAAGCGCCCGCGCCAGGCAGCGGCCGGGCCTAGCCGCGCTCGCAGATGACCTCGACCACACTAGGTTCCATGGGCACTGGGTCCGGGCAGCGAAGAGCAGCCGAGGCCACCACTTCGTCCAGCAGCAGGTGCACGAGCTCCTCGTCCGCCACGAAGCGCCACAGGTAGAGCTGCAGGAAGTGGCAGTCCACCTGCACCTGCTGCAGCCCAAAGCGCCCGAAGGTGCGCAGCCGCACGCACTCCAGCAGCGTCTTCAGGCTGATCTTGATGATGCCAGTGAGGACAGACACCTGCGGACAGGGACACGGAGCTGCTGCTCTGCCAGGGACCTACGGCTTCCCCAGGGGGGCACCCATGTTCTGGGCAGGGGTGGGAGGCAAGCTGCCAGTGGCGCGGACGGAGGAGGAAGGTCCGGGAGGCAGGTAAAGGGAGGAATGGATGCAATGTTAGACAGCAGCTCGAGGGGAGGGGCAGAGGGCCCAGCCCCAGAGGCAGGCGGAGGTTGGCACCGATGCAAGGGGGCTGACTATTCGGAGGGTAGCCTCAGGCCCCTGATCATGGGCTGGGGTGGGGCAGAGACCATGGTGTAAGAACCCCCAGGAGGACCGGGGACAACTGGGGACAAGGACAGGAGCCTAAGGTTTGCTAAGCCAGCACCTAGAGCCAGGCTGGGCCGCGGAGCACAGGCACAGGGCCAAGGGGTGGAGACAGTGAGCCTCTGGGCTACCACTGGAAATGCCTAGAAACCACCCGAGGTGGCGACTGAGGGGACAGTCCCAGGGCCAAGCCCTCCGAGTCCCTGGAAGGTGATGTCACTAGGAACTTCGGACCTTGTTGAATTCCACCGGGCTGAACACGTCAATACGTTCAGAGAACAGCTTCTGGATGTTGCTCAAGAGGTTGGTGTCCATGGGGGCGCTGGATGGGAGGAGACAGCAATCAGAGCCTGTCCTCCTTCGTCCGCTCCTCTGGGGGCCCCCTACCCTCGCCAGCCAGACCTGGGTGTGTAGCTGGGCGCGTAGCGGCCCTGCTGCCGGGAGCTGCTGTGCACCGAGAAGGTCCTCTTGCTGGAGTCGCTGCTCTGGGCCTTGCGCACGCCCTCTTCGTACAGGAGCCCCACCTGGCGGCAAGGGGCGGCACTGCGAGGAGGAACTCGCCCACCAGCTTCCGAGGTGCCCCCAGGAGGCACCAGTCTCGCCCACATTTGTCACAAACAGCACGTGTTACGAGAACCACGTGCGTCTTCATTCCTGGTCTCTGCTTTGTGCCTAGTCACTACTCACAGAACCAGGGCAAAGGTGCCCAGGCCCAATCTCAGCCCTGGACTCCTGGGAAAGCTTCCTCCAGGTGAAAAGAAGCAAGGAGGCCACCACCCGGGTCTGAGGCCGCGGCCATGGAGGCAGGCCTTGGCCAGGCCTGCCTCCTCAGAGGGCCACCCCCCAGCATCCCCACACCAGGGCCCCGCTGGCCTGCCAGGGGCAGCACCTGCACATCGATGGCTGTCGTGTCCTCCACCACCCGCTTCATGACAGCACGCACGTTCCGGGGCTCCAGGGTGCTGAGCCAGTCCCTCGTTTCCACACTCTTGCGCAGCATCTGCGATATGACCAGGCCCTGCACCTTCACGTAGTGGGTCAGTAGTCGCCGTGCTGTCTCCCTGGCCTCTGCACACAGTGTGCTCACAGGCGTCACTGGAGACTGGTCCTGAGTCAGGGACAGAACACAGAGCAGCAGGGGTTAGCAGGGCAGCTCAGAGGCCATTGCAGCAGGAGTGGGCAGAGGCAGCAGGCACCACCCAGCCTCCCATGTCCCCAGCCCTGCTATGAGCTCGGGGTCACCTGCACCAGAAACTGTTCATCAGTGAGGGTGAGGATGTACGAAATGGTGGCCGTCTCGTAGTCCAGGCAGAGGCGGGAGAGCAGCAGGAGCAGGGCGGGTGGGGTGGCACCCCCTTTCTCCCCTGGGCTGTCACAGAAGCTCTGGGCTGTCTGGCACATGGAGCGGATGAAGCCCACGATGAGGCCCTCACGGACACCCTGGCTGCAGAACTCGCCCTGCAGAGAGGAAGCGCCCAGGTTCACCTCAGGGACCGGTGGCTGGGGTCCTCTTCCAGGCACTGCTTCACCCTGCATGCCGGGCCCCCAGCAGCTCCTGCTTGGGGTGAGGGATTGAGCCAGCACTAGGGGCCCTGTTTCCTGAGGCTCAGGCCCTTCCCCCCCGCCCCATCCTGCCTCAAGGCAGCCTGCAACAACATCCTGGGTGCCCAGGGCAGGGACTGTGTGACTGCTAGCTGCCAGCCCCAGGAAGAGTAAGAGAGGCCCAGAAAGAGTCAAAACCCAGCTCCAGGGGCGGCCATACCCGGAAGTAGGGCTTGTTGGAGAAAGACACCTCCTTGGCGGTGAAGAGGTGCACAGCAGCCAGCGAGGCCTTGATGTGGCTCAGGATGGAGCTGGCCACATTGGCCAGCAACTCTGCCAGGCCGGGGCCTTCCTTCCCGGCCAGGCGGGGAGCAGCCAGGGCCTGGCGCACATCGGTCAGGCAGCTCAGGAAGGCTGCGCGCAGTCCCTGCAGGTGGTGGCCCAGGCGCTCCCGGGCCACTCGCTCCACTATTTCCGTGGCAGCTTCGGCAAGCCCGGCCGCGGCCAGCAGGGGCCCGGGTGCCCGCAGGCGCCGGTGGAAGCGGTCCAGCGCCCGCACCAGCAGCGAATTATCACCGCCACCCTGCTCCTGCGCCAGGCGCCGCTCCACCAGCACAAAGTAGCGGCCGCCCAGCTCCCGGGCAAAGGCCGCCAGCTTTCCAGCGCCGGCTGGCCCCTGAGCACCAAACAGCTCCTGGTAGGACGCGGCCACTTGGCAGAGCCCACCCACGAAGCCGCTGCCTCCTCGGTCAGTGAACTCTAACACGTCGGGGGCCGGCGGGGAGGGCCCCAGCTCCGCCTCCAGGCTGCCCAGCTCCTCCTCCAAGCGCCCGCGGGCATGCGCCAGGAATTCCTCGCACAGCTCCTCCGCAGGCTCGCCCAGGGCAAGCAGAAGCTCCACACACTCGGCCTGCTCTGGGGCGCCCGAGCCGCCCTCCCTGCGGAGGAGATGCGGTGAGCGCGGGCAGGCAGGCAGGCAGAAATCCCGGGGAGGGGGCCGACTGGAAGGCGGTGGAGCGGCCAGGTGGGGCAAGGGCTGGGGCCACACCTGAAGCGCTGCCGGAGCTGCTGGGCCAGGCGGGCCGTGATGACCTGGCAGTCATCCTGGATGGCACGGAATGAGGGCAGGTGCTGGTACTGCTGCAGGACGGCCCGCGCGCGACCCTGGTAGCGCACTGCCTGCCCGTAGGCACCCAACTCCACGCACTTGGTGAGGCGCGAGGGTAGCTCGAAGAGGAACTGCAGCTTCCGCAGCAGCGCGTGGACCCCTGGGAGGCAGAGAGAGGCCCTGTCAGCCCCAAAGCCACGAGGGCAGGGCGGGCCTCAGCACCCGGGCGGGGGAGGCCCACCTGCCAGCTTGGTGATGCGCTCGTGCCGGTCCTGCAGTGTGGCACTGATGCGCGCACTGAAGTCGGTGATCACCGCCATGTTGGTAGCCAGCCGGTCCATCTCGTCCTCCATCTTCCGGAAATCATTCTTCATCTTCCGGATGGTATCTAGGAGGGCAAGTGCGCAGAAAGGGAAAGGATGACTGGGTGGCTTAGTTCGCTCCAGCGGGTCTCACGAGCACCCTGGGGCCTCCCCAAACGCCCAGATGCCCGCTCCTGCAAGCTGAAGGCAGCTGATATCTGCCGAAAGACTGCAGCGGCGCCTGGTCACCTAAGGAGCCCCTGCTGTGATGTTAGTGCAGAGGGGTTTCTGAGCACCCCATTGGGCCCCAGGAAAAGGGGATGTGGAGACGAGTCTCTGTGCCCTGATCCAGAGGCGAGCACAAAGCACTCCACAAGGCCCAAGCCCTTTCACTCCACCTTCAGGAACACTGGGTCTTCCGCGGGAAGTCCTTGCCCTGCTGGCCTCACAGAGCCTGCCAAGGAGGCTGTCCTTCCATGCCCTAAGCATCTCGGGGCCTGGTGGCCACCTAACTGCTTCTATAGTTTCTACTCTTGCACCCTTCAAACCCCAGCTTCTCTGGGGGTCATGCCTCAAACTCCAGCCCTCCGGCTGCAGTTCCATTTTTTTTTTTTTTTTTAAAAAGATTGATTTATTCTGGGCCCTCCCTGGTGGCGCAGCGTGTTAAAGCACAGCACTGAGAATCTAAAGCCGCTTCTGCATGAGTTCGATCCCCGCCTGCCCCGGAGGTGACCACATGGCATGGCAGACCTCTCCTGACCCGCCCGCTGCTCCCCTCAGCAGTGTGCTTCGTCGATCTGCCTGTTCTGTTCCCCACTCTGTCTCTGGTGAAGCCTCTCACCGCCCCTGAGCCTCTGGCCTGTACCCCAGCTCTGTATGCACAAATAAATAAATCTTTAAAAAAAAAAAAGATTTATTTATTCATGCACACAGAACTGAGCTACAGGCCAGAGTGCACGGGCAGTGACAGGATTCACCAGAGACAGAGCGGGGAGCAGAAAAGGCAGATCGATGGAAGTCCACTGCTGAGGGGCGCAGCAGGCGGGTCAGGAGAATCACCTGTCTCCACCACCCGGGCGGGGGCTGGACAGTGCTGCGCTTTAACCCACTGTGCCTCCAAGAAGGGCCCCCGGGGCTGCAGTTCCTACTGGCCTCTGCCTCACCGCTCAGTTCTGGATGGCTGTCACCCTCTTGGGAACATCCGCTCATTTCAGTTCTACCTATGCTCAC